CAATAATCACATTAAAATGTCCCCATATACAAACTGCTGAAGTCTAAAGTCACAAAAAATACAAACTTAAGTACATGAATAAAGTTATAAAAATGTTATTTAAAAACAAAGTTCTATATCTTCAACATTGGGCCAAAATAGGAAAAAAAGGGAGAAAGAGTGCATATGAAAAATACCACATTTCGATAAAGCAGCCTCACCAGTGAGATACTGAGCCACTCGGGCCAATACGGCATTTCATTATGGGACTGGCTACTTCATATAAAATTATATGTGAAACATTAAATTTATTTCTTTCAAAATGAAACATCCAAGTGAAACAGAGCTAACAATATATACCAAATTTTAGTTGGCTGCTAGTAGAAAATTTAAACAATTCCATAAATTCAAAAAGAAAATATTTGGAAAAAAATTTCAAACAAAAATAAACATAACCAAATGAAATAAAAATGGAATAAATTAATGTCAATCATGAAGTGTGAATGTGTGTAACAGAGAGTTGTACCCAGGTTTCTCCACCCACCTATCATTTATACAAGCTACAGGGAATGGTTAGAAGGAATAGAAAGATGCCAAACATGATTTTAAAAAGCCCATACTACAAGTTTTGAAAAGTCCCCTGGCCAACCCCACCACCACCACCAAAACCAACACAATAAATAAATACACACCAAAGGGAAAGAGCTGTGTTTTATTTGATGGTGTGCTGTCCTATAGAAAAAGAGTTTTCACATTTTATCAACTGCTTAGAATATAACGATAACCTCTTCCCTCTAAAATGTACCTCTTTCAAATGCCTTCTGTCCAGAGCCCATAGAAGGCATTGCTGGCAGAGAAACTGGGCCTTTTAACCAGATCCCTGTAGAAGATGGAATGCTTCCTAAATTCCAGAAGTCACTGCAGGGGACTCAGTTTAAACTTTCATGATACTCTGATTTTACCATCACAAAAGTAGTTTGTATCAGAGGATCTAAAACAATATATGTCTGAAAATCTTCCTCAGAACATGGTGCCAATTATTTCTTTTAATCTGAAATAATCAGTACCTTGGAAGTTATAAAAACCTGATAATCAGTAAGAGGATAGAAAATTAAAAAGTATTTGACATTTCAGATTTTAAACCAGAACTCTCCTAAGATTTCAAAACACGGCCCATGATTTATGTTCTAACAGTCAGATCAAAGGTTATCATTGTAGAGGTTACAAGATATGTATCTCAAATGGTTCTAAATTTTATTTTAGCTTACTAATGTATGGAAAAATGAGGATCGAGAATAAGAAAGTCCCATTGAGACAATCCTCAGAATGTGTTCATGGTAAAGGACTTTTGACTTCATGTGTGACCCACCAATCCCATTGGCATGCTGCATAAATAAAAAGACACCTCCAAAGTTCAAAGAGATACTAATCCTAAACAGAGTTAAAGTCCAATTAGACAATCATTTCATTAGAAACCTGCTAAATTGGCTGTGGTTCTTAAATGTGCTACAATTTAGTTTCATTCTGGTGTTAGAGAAAAAGTTAAGTTTTTATCTGGGTCAACATCCCAATATTCTAAGACAGGATTCAAGAGCATTATAACTCAGTTCCACTTTTTTAAGCTTATCAATTCTTATTTTGATAGTTCATGACCATATTCAAAAAGTAACTAGTTATAAAATTCTATACATAATAATAAGGTTGTCAAATTTTCAGAAGAATCTAAGCCTAAACAAATAGATCATAATTTCATAATAAAAACAATTTTGGCCCAACTTGCAAATAACCAAGGATAATTTAATTTGGAGAAATACTTTCCAAGCCTTAATCAGAGCTACTCTAAATTTGAAAATTTGTAATTAAAATAGCTATCATTATTCAGATTTTAGTAAGGTACAGAGAAACACAGGGGTAGCCTGAAAGATTAACCTTCCCTAAAGGCAAGCTCACAGAGGGAAAGAGGAGGGAGAAGAAAAGGAAATTCACTGCAGTACTGGTGGCCTCAACCCCTTTATGAAAGCACAGGTTCTCATCTGGTGTGATAATATCCTCATTCATGTTGAAGATTCGAAAACCAAATTAAAAACGTCAACTAAAAATGTTTAAATTAAAAAAAAAATGAGATTGAATTAAATGATAAAATAAAATTTAAAAGAGAATAAGAAATAAAAGACATTAGATGATGTTTATAAAAATACTAAAATTAAAAAGAATTCATCTTGCATTTTGTGCTCACAAAGGGAAATGAGGTTCCATCAAGCCCTGCAGAACACAAGAGGAAGCAGGTGGTTTGCTCAGGCATCAGCAGAAATAGGCCCCTCAGCTTCTTCTACATCGTGTCCAGGAAGGAAAAGCAAAGCTCTGCAAAATGCTGAAGGTTTTAGAAGTATAACGATGCTTAGGAAAGATCACTGGTCTGGTGTTGCAGCAACCCCAGTGTTGAGAGACACGCTAGGCTTCTAGGAGGAGAAAAATAGAAAGGGAGGAAGAAGTAGGAAGGGGAAGGAAAGGGTGGGAAAGCACAGGTCATTAGTAAACAGCAAGTTCAACACAGCAAGATGCTCATAAACCCTTTATATGTTATTAATGGAGCCGGTCTCTCTTAGGAATATAGATAATGTTCTGAGGGAAATAGAAATGGGAATTTTCAAAATGGTAGAGTTAGATGCTCCAGTTAATGATGGCCAAATTATACGATCCCAAAACATGCAATCTTCACCCTCTCCTCATACCTCCCTCCCCCAAAGAAACATGCATATTTTCAGTAAAGTACCTGCTTGAACACAGCTAAGAAGTCAAATTCAGAACCCAAACAACCTGGTGTGCAAACTACATACTACCTAAGGGTAGCGAGGTATCCAAGAGCAGAGAGACCCACTCTCATAATGCCACTGGGCAGTTCGTAAAGAGCTCAATTCTTTTTTGTCACCAGGGAACTAAAAGTCTTGAAACAGTAAGGGCCAGGCTGCATGTTTTTCCTCTTCTTTTTCTGCACTAGTAAGACTTGGCAGTGGGGAATAACTGCTACATAGACTTACAGAGTTTGAGTCTCCTTTGGTCGGACTTGACATGCTACTGGAGAAGAAACCTGCTATAGCTTTGACAGATGTTTCCTTCCTAGATAAAATAGCATCTATGACTCTTTTCAAAATTTTTTTCTTTTGAGACTGGGTCTCACTCTGTTGCCCCAGGTAGTGTGCACAGTGGCGTCATCATAGCTCACTGCAACCTCAAACTCCTGGGCTCAACTGATCTTCCTGCCTCAGCCTCCCAAGAAGCTAGGACTATAGGCTAATTTTTCTATTTTTAGTAGAGACAGGGTCTTGCTTTTTCAAGCTGGCCTCGAACTCCTGACCTCAAGTAATCCTCCTGTCTTGGCCTCCCAGAGTGCTAGGATTACAGATGTGAGCCACTGTGCCTGGCCCAGCACCTACTCTTTCAACTGGCTAATCAAATCAATCCCCTCCAGCCTTTCCCTATGTTGGCATTGTCTCCTGGTTAAAGAAAGCTGAATTTACTCATTTGTTAAAAGTTCATGTTCTGGCTGGTCCAATGGTAGTGGGTTATCAAAACTTGTTACCATTAGTGTCACTAAAGTTGGTATACAAACCCCCCACTGCTCAATTTGACTGGCTAAAAAAATAAAAAATAAAAATAAATAAAGTTCATGTTCAAGCTGCTGCTTCTCTAATCACAGGGATTTTGGCATAAATGTTTTCTTAAAACCAATTACACAGATGACTTTGCTTTCAAAGTGGCACAGAAACAGTCAATACTGCATATGACTGAGATTACCAAAGAAATACAAAATGATAGTTCACAAAACATGAAGATAAGGTGGACCTTCTGGTTGTTTATAGCTTCTAAAGTAAAGAGTACCTAATTTATGAGTTGCTAATACAAATAGTAATGTCACTGGGTAAACAAACATTCACAACAAATAGAACCTAGTCATCAATAAATCTGAGGTAGGAAGAAGATATATACAATATTTCCTCAGGTCACAGAATAAAGAATAAATCCTGGAATAACTGCTTATTGCTAATGGAAGGCTTTTTGGAAGCCTTAGAAATCAAGAAATCCTGTGGTAGTTTAAGGAAAAGGTTCTTACAGCTGAGGTGTGCATACAAGAAGAGAAACACAGAAACAGTACACGCCTAGTGCTTACCTCCACTGCAGTAACATGAATCAAATTAATGTGCCCCAGTTAAGTGCACACTCCGCTGCAGAGAACAGTGTGCTTGATTATTCGAAGTCAACTCATTTGGGTCAACAATGTCAGCCTGATCACAACCGCAAATTAAGTGCAGTTATTTATAAAAATACAACACAAGACTCCCACATTGGCTACCTAAGAAAAGATTTATATAGTACATCCCCATGGAGTCCTGCTACTGCTGAGAATTTTGCTCACTACAAAGACACTGGGGCAGGGAGTTGGTGCTATTATGAGGTGGGAACCCACAGGAACTCAGTACTAACTGATAGAATATCAAAGCCCTAGTAATAGACCAGATGTTAAATTTAGTGACAAATTTCAAAAGCAACAGTTAAAGTAAAGATAAAGGTAAAACAGACCAAGGGCAAAAGAGAAGGAAAGAATTTATAATTTTTTGCTCACAGGTTTCCTAATGTTGAGCTGTAGAAAGTAAACTGAGTGCAATGTGCGTTCAGGGACGACACCTGCCTTAAAGAGTCATAGTGGCAGAATGCCTCCCATGTAACATATTTTGATGATGATTATTCTGCATCTATAAGAGCATTTTTAAGATTGATCCAGCTCTTGTGTGGTACAGCTCCAACAAATATTCAAGGAATGTCAAAGGAGGCTCATTCTTCTCTTTCCATTGTTAGAGATTTTATGTGGCAGATACCTGGGTTTAAATACATCCAACAAGAGTAATACCACCATCAAAAATAAGTCATACGCTTCCATGAACAATCCTTCTCAAAGGAGCTTATCAAGATGTTTACTGTGACTGTTTCACCCACACATTTGGGGAATCTTGGGAACTACTTACCTGTAGTATTATTTCCTTCTATTCCATGATCACCATTGGCTAGCACTGTTGGTTTAGGAGTATCTGCAACAATCACAAAGAATAAATTACCCATTGTGACAGATAGAAAAATGAAAAAAAGATCCAATTACTGTCTTACTAATTAGAATTTTTGTCACTCTTAATAGTATTAGCTGAAAGCACTTAAAAACTGTCCAAAATTTAAAGATTCACTAAAAGAAAACCCAGAAACAGAATAGAACTGAGTCATTAATTCTCAGGGTACCCAAGCTCTGTTAAGTACCACTTCTACGGGACGGCTCTCCATAATAGCAAGTCTGTCTTTTTTAAGCTGTAAATGGTCAAAGATTACCATTAAATTCAATAAAACCATCTTGAAACACCACAAGTTTAGTATCAGTGATTCAAATCAAATGCTCCAAGGACACAGGGCCATTTAAAACAACTCCCACACAGGAAAACCAGGACACATCCCTGCTCCTGGAGGTCATCAGCAGCACTTCTGGAAGCAGAGGACTACTTTTTCTTTAGCTATTCAAATAGGGTGTAGTTCTGTCTTATTCTCTAATGACTAAAGATAATGAGCATGTTTTCATGTGTTTATTTGCCACCCCCTTCTCTTCTTTGGTGAAGTGAATGGTCAAATTTTCTGAATATGTTATAATTGAATTGTTTGTTTTCCTATTATTGAGTTTTGAGTAGTTTTCATATATCCCAAAAATCAGTACTTTATCAGATGAATTTTCTAAACATTTTCTCCCAATCTTTAACTTGTACTGTATTTTCATTTTCTTAACTGTCTTTCAAAGAGCAAAAACTTTAAATTTTGATGATGTCTAATTTATCTTATTTTCTTTCATGGATTGAGCTTTTGATGAGGTATCTAAGAAATGTTTGCCTAACTTAGGGTCATATGATTTTTTAGCACATTTTCCTCCAGAAGTTTTATAATTTTCAAACTTAGGTTTCACATTGAGGCCCATGATATATCTGGAGCTAAATTTTGTATATGGTATAAGATGTAGGTCTAGGTTTTATTTTTGTAGATGGGCATCTAATTGTGCCAGCATCATTTGCTGAAAAGACTATCCTTATTCTATTCAATTGCCTCTGTACCTTTGTGAAAAATCAATTCACCATATTATGTGTGGGCCTATTTCTGGGCTCTCTATTCTGTTCCATTGATCTATCCATTTTGCCAATATCACATTGTCTTGATTACCATATTTACATAGTATAGTCTTAAAGTAAGGTAATATGAGTCCCCCAACTTGGGTCTTTTTCAAAATTATTTTGCTTCTTTGCTTTTCCATATAAATTTCAGAATCAGTTATTAATTTATACAAAAAATCTTCATAGGATCTTATTTGCAATTGCACTAAATATACAGATCAATTTGAGGATGTACAACCTTTTCTGAAAGGTTCTGACTGTATCTAACATTTCAGCAACCTGTCTAGCTCTGTAGTCAACCTACTGACCCAAGAGTCTCGTACAAATCATTCTCAAGAACCTCACAAATATATTTCTCATATGACAACACATGAAAATCTAGAACATATGCTACTAAAATATAAAATGTAAGATTTTACTTTGGAAGACAACAAACAAATGCTGTCCAACCCTTTGGCCTCCACAAATACAAGGCAGAAATCTTTCATACAAATTTCTCATTGAAAATGTCATTTATTCTGTTATCTCAGAGGAACAATCAAAGAGAACAACCTAAAAGAATAAGCCAATTAAATGGAAGAAAAAGAAGGAAATACAGAAGTGAAAGATAATAGACTTCTATTAAATATCCACCGACTATGTAACACACACCCTGCTAAGTCTTTACACACTGTATTTCACTTATTCAGAGAGATGCCAAAACGCTCCATCCCACATTTGGCATAAATAAATTCCCTTTCACATTCACATAAGAATCTTACAGGATTTATTCTTCCTAGCTCAAGAAAGAATGCATATTTTTAAAAATCTGCTTCATTTTAAAATTCGTATTTAAGAACATGGAAATTACAAAAATTGATATATCATGAGAGTAGTATGAGAGCAGCCATTAGAGTGATAAAACCTTTTTAAAACTTGATAATAATCAGTGTTGGCAAGGGTGTGGGAAAACAGGTACTCTCAAACACCATTTGGGGGACTATAAATTGGAACAACCTTTTTTATGAGACAATTTGGCAGTCTATTAAATTTTGAAATACTCACTTAACTCAACAATGCATTTTAGGTATTTAGTTCACAAAGTGAAATAAAAGTATACAAAACTGAATGTGAACAGAATGCTTATTATAGCATTGTTTTAAAGTAACAGGCCAGGCGCGGTGGCTCATGCCTGTAATCCTGGCACTCTGGGAGGCTCAGACGGGTGGATCGTTCAAGGTCAGGAGTTCGAGACCAGCCTGAGCAAGAGCGAGACCCCGTCTTTACCAAGAAATAGAAAGAAATGATCTGGACAGCTAAAAATATATATATAGAAAAAATTAGCTGGGCATGGTGGCGCATACCTGTAGTCCCAGCTACTCGGGAGGCTGAGGCAGTAGGATTGCTTGAGCCCAGGAGTTTGAGGTTACTGTGACCTAGGCTGACGCCACGGCATTCTAGCCTGGGCTGAGTGAGACTCTGTCTCAAAAAAAAAAAACAAAAAACAAATGCCAGCTGGGCATGGTGGCTCACACCTATAATCCTAGCCCTCTGGGAGGCCAAGGTAGGAGGATTGCTTGAGATCAGGAGTTCAAGAGCAGCCTGAGCAAGAGCGAGATGCCATCTCTACTAAAAATAGAAAAAATTAGCCAGTCTACTAAAAATACAAATAAAAAATTAGCCAGGCGTGGTGGCTCACACCTGTATTCCCAGCTACTTGGGAGGCTGGGGCAGGAGGATCACTTGAGCCCAGCAGTTTGAGGTTGCTGTGAGCTAGGCTGATGCCACGGCAATCTAGCCCGGGCAACAGAGTGAGACTCTGTCTCAAAAAAATAAATAAATAACAAACGCCCACCAACAGATTCACTATATTATTATAAAAATAGTATGCAGTATTAAATGAGGTAGCTCTTCATGTTACTGATAAAGGAAGATGCCAGGACATACTAAGAAAAAAATAAAAAAGTAAATGTGGTATAATAGCATTTTGAATACCCTCAAAAAAAAAAAATCACCACATACATAACTAATCAGAAAAAAGAAAGAAAAAATATATACCAAACATCATTGATAATTGCTAAGGAATGGAGTGCAGGTGTTAGGGGAAAAGACTTTCCAAAGTCCTGTTATAACTGAGCACATTAAAGAATCTAAGAGTGGATAAAAACAGGAAACTAAGGCACATATGTTAGCTTCAACATACTACCACAAGTATTTAAAAACAGCAGAAAAGATTGTTTAAAAGAATAACATAAAAAGGCCAGGCACAGTGGGTCATGCCTGTAAATCCCAGTGTTTGAGGCCAAGAGTTTGAGACCAGCCTAGGCAACATAGCAAGACCACCCCCCTACAAAAAATTTAAGGAAAAAAAAATTAGCCGGGCATGGTAGCATTAGCCTGTAGTCCCAGCTACTGGGTAGGCTTAGGCTGAAGCAGCAGGATCGCTTGAGTCCAGGAGTTGGAGGCTGCAGTGAGCTATGATGACACCACTGCACTCCAGCTTGGGAAACAGAACGAGACCCTGTCTCAAAAATTTAAAAAAAAGTGTAAAAAAAAAAAAAAGATATAGAAATCCAGAAGAGTACCCTCCAGTGGACCAGAAATTAGGAGTAATATCCAGGAAAATGAAAGCAAATAAAACTGCACTGAAGTAGAAACCACAGCCCAGAGAAGGCAAAGGAAAGCAGAACTCCAATGAACTCTAAGCTTACAGGCAGCAGAGGTGTTGGGTACTCCATTAGAAGCTGCCAGGCTGGTTCCCATGTTCCCCATGCTTTTCTTCCCACACCCCTACAATAGTCAGCTTTGTGCCAACACCCAGATAGGAATGGAGACTGGATGCTTTGGCAAATAAGTAAGTTACTTTGTCAGGTGACCAGTGATACCCAGAGGAGTGGGGAGCCCTCATGCCCAGAGGGATTATCCATCCACTGGCATTATCCACCTGGTAGCACTGTCTCATACTAGTCAGAGTCAGGGGGTAGAAAACAGTTATGCATCATAGGGTATCTCAAACAGACAGTACTTCAAATAACTGAGGAAAACTACTACTCCCACCACCCCCAAAGGCATCACAAAGAGAATAAATACCATCCATGGAAACAATGCTGATATAGCAAATAGAAGACTTTTTAAAAGAAACAATACATCATTTCCCTCAGGAAGAGAAGAGAAAATATCACACATTCATGGAACAAAAGCAAGCTCTCATGAGTGGTTTTTGTAAATTAGATGGTTTCTGATTCTTTATTTTAATCAAAATGGGAAGAGGTATAATGGAGTTGTTATCTCATACAAAACAGAATAATTTTTTATAATATTATACTATGGCATTCTTAACACATAAGTATTGAGAACAATGTCATAATAAAGCTTCTATTCCCACAT